GAGGAAGACGGCGGCCATAGCCGCGGAGCATTGACACAGAGTGCCGGAGGAGAGAGAAAGGGAGGACAGAGAAGGAGGGACTGAGGAGAGAGAAGAAGAAGTCTGGAAGGAGGAGATCGAAGAAGAAGACAGACATAGCCGGGGGTGTGAAAAAATATATATATATACAGCGAAAGAGAAGAGGAAAGAAAGTGAAGGAAGGGGAAGTAGACGGCGAGGGTGACGAAGGTGAAGGTGCCGGCAGCCATAGCCGAGGTGAGGGGTTGACCGGACGTTGACCAGGCCGTTGACCAGGGGGTTGACCAAGGGTTGACCGGGGGGTTGACTAGGCGTTGACCAAGGTGGTTGACCGAGCGTTGACTCGGGGTTGTCCGCGTTGACCGGAGCTGCTGACCAAGATTTTGACCAAGCTGGAGTTGGTGATATCTCGTTGAGCCCTCAGCCTATCCCCTTACCCTGTGGATGTGCACTTACCCCACGGTACTTGCTGAGTYTGTCTGTTTACTCTTTCTGCATCGAGTCTCTTTTGTCTTAGGTGTTAGGACTCTGTGGATGAAGGATAGGGCCTTGCTGCCAAACCTACACGGGCTTAGTAGGACCAAAGCTTTACTCTGGCATCTGGAGACCTGGGCATGAGCGGCGAGCGCTCATTAAACAACTCGTCTAGCCCAATGACCGATACTGACCGGCAGGTCTACTGAGTTCAGTGTAAAGGGTCCGAACTCCGAGTTGTGGGCTGAAACGAAGGCTGTCTTTAAGTGTTGAGGCCTGGTTGAGCCACTCCCCTACCGGACCTAGTAAGGCTGATGATCTGTGTCTGACGACTCGACTGTCCTGAGGGATACGAACCCCTCCAAGGACCGGTACAGACCGGCGGGCTGCTCGGTGTGGCACAGTAGGCTGGAGAGGCTGAGTTGTGGGCTGAAATCGCCAGAGGAGCCAAGCTGATCGCGTCGTCCTGTCTGCTACGTTAAAGAATTCTTGCGGAGTTTGAGGGATCTCCTTAAATGCCTCCTGATCAGCTTTTGGTTTTGTAGTGACAGCCTTAGAGTAGTCTTGGGTTAGTAGTGACCATAGTTGACAGGGTCCTACCCTGTGGTCTTCAGGGAGTGAGTCAATAGGTCAGTGTGTCCGGGTAGGTCTACGTGGTGAGGAGTGGGACCCCTGTCGTGCACCAACACCACGATGGATGACTATCCGATGTATGGGCTACTTGTTGGGTTCTCCCTCTGGGGGACCCTCTGGCGTCTCCTCTTCCCTCTCGGCTTTTGGCCCACTGTTGCGTGTAGAGTAGGGCCCACTCGGGGTGGTACTTCCACCAACCCTTACACGAAGGAGGAGGAGGAGAAGATGGCCGTCATTCTGCAGGAGAAGAAGGAGAAGAAGGAGGCCAAGAAGAAGGCCTTGAAGGAGGAGCAGGCGGCCAAATTGAAGAAGATAGAAGAAGAGATGGCCARAGAGAAGGAGAGGATACGAAAGGAGGAAGAAGAGAAGTTGAAAGAAGTGGAAGAGGAGGAGGAAGATGAAACACCATTGCAGAGGAAGAGGGTGCAGTACAGTGGTAGTAGGGATGAAGAGATGGAGAAGCGAATCTCCRAGTGGGTAGCCAACTTRTCCCTGGGCGAAGAAGAAGAGGTGGCGATGTACATCTCCAAGGATGACCAAGAAGCCGCTATGAGGGTCTGGGAAGCAGAAAAGGATGTTGTGAAGCGGCAGGCATTGGAAGACGAAAAGAGGATGGAGTGGAAGTTGGCAGTGATGAGGGAGAAGAAGAGGAGAGTGGACGTGGTAGCGGAGGCGGCAAAAGATTTAGAGGAAGTAAAGAATATAGAAGAGCAACTGGCCGCCCAGACCGAACTCCCAGCTCAAATGCGAGTCATAGCCCGAAACGTTGCACGCCTGGCACGAATTCAGGCGGAGCAATATGATTTTAGTAGGAKTCAACACATAGCTGTGCGTTCCATAAAGTTGGGGTTTCGGGACTTTGCGCGTGAGCTGGTAGGCGCTATAGGGACCGAGGTGGGCCACCGCCTCGACAAGACTAAGCGGTTCTGTGTCGACGCCATTGAGGGCGTCAAAGCGCAGCTCCCGAGGAGGAGGAAGCACGTCCTCCTCGTCAGGAACCGGTCAAAGTTAAATTCCCTGATTCCTACAGTGGAAAAAGGGAAGAGAACTTCGACAATTGGGAGGCCAATGTCAAGACCTATATGCATCTGCAACAGGTCTCCCCGGATCAGCAAGTTCTGATTGCGATTCACGCGCTCAGAGATGAAGCCGCCAGCTTTGCAAGGTCCCTAGTTCGCGCTGCCAATCGCAGCGATGATCCCGTTGCGTACTCCTCGTTCACTTCCCTCACTGAGTTCTTGAAGCTGTTGCGCGAGCTGATGTCGCCCGTAACGTTAAAGCCTCAGACAGGCTGCAGACGATCCACGCTCGTGAGTGGAAGAGCGCCAGGGCACTTAAGAGTACAATGGTTGAACTGGTAGCTTTCCCTGACCACGCGGTTACAGACACCCAGTTGGTTGGCCTCTTTTATCGGGCTATACCCGAAGCCCTTCGAGGGCATTTCTTTGCAAAGAGCGAAGACCCTGCCACTACATACGATTCCCTTAGTCGCGAAGTATGCGTCTGTGTCCACTTTCTTGCACAAGGACTTGGACAAGGGTAAGCAATGGAAGGGCCGCACTATCTCAGGGCAAGTAAAGACCAAGGACAGCCTTGTCCTGACCTTAGATGAGGGTAGTGTGGATGAGATCCCCTACGATCAGATTGAGTGGGGGTTAGAGGAGGAGGACAGCGGTGTGGGCCAGGGGAGATCTTACGCTGCTGTCGCAGCTGGGGGGAGGCCGCAAGGAGGAAGAGGCCAGGGCCAAGGGGGCCGGGCCTCAGGGAGCCGATTTCAGGGCGATCAGGGGGTTGGCGGCAGAGGCGGAAACCGCCAAGTGGGAGGCAGGGGTCAAGGTCCCCGGCAAAACTGTCCTAGGAATGGGTCTCCCTATAGGGTAGGAGGATGGCACCCAAGGCTACCGCAGGGTAGGCCTTGGGAATCTTTGGGTCTGGACCAGGCGTTATGGCAACAACGATTGGACCGGGGCCAGTGCATTTTTTGCGGTGACCCGGGCCACATCATCAAGTATTGTCCTAAGTACAGAGAGACCCGAACGGCTGGCCAAGGGCCAAAAGGCAGCCGCCGGTAGGGGTAGCAACTGCCCCTACCATTAGGCCATGTGGGGAACATAGCRCTAGCYGRCAGGAGACTCCCACACCACATGTGCCTATGGCAGAGGTTGCAGGCCGGTGTCTAGACAGCTGTCCCGAAACTGCTTGTGTTAGAGTTTCGCTGGACACCTCCCTCACAGGCGTGGCCGAAGAATTGAAGGAGAGGATGCCCGCCTGGGCCAAGATGAAGAAGGAGAATAAAGGGCAGCTTATATTGTTAGATACAAAGGTTTTTACAAGAAGAGTAGGGGCCCTAGTAGAYTCAGGGGCCACCCGCAGCTATATTAGTAGGAAAGCGCTGCAGAAGTTGAAGTTGGGACTTAAAGTCCAAAAGCTAGCAGACCCCATTGTTAGTATCCTCGCAGACAATCGTACTATGGTTGTAGAGGAGTACGTAGAGGGGGTCCAGGCGTATTTTCGCCTAGAGAAGAATGGGAAAGTGGAGAAGGTCCAGGCGTATTTTCGCCTAGAGAAGAATGGGAAAGTGGAGAATGGTTGTAGAGGAGTACGTAGAGGGGGACTTCAAGATCAATGCAAAGAAGTGCGATTGGGCGAAGACCCAAGTTTTGTATCTAGGCCACGTCTTAGACGGAGACGGCGTTAAGCCAGAAGATAGCAAGATCGCAGCGATTAGAGATTGGCCCACGCCACGTACGCTGACAGAGTTGCACTCGTTCCTGGGCTTAGCGAATTACTCCAGGAAGTTCGTGAGGAACTTCTCCACCATCGCTGCGCCCCTTCGCAGATTGCTAAGAAAAGAGACAATCTGGAAGTGGGACAAGGACTGCACGTTTGCCATGAAGAAGCTAAAGCAGGCGTTGATAGAGTATCCGGTCCTTAAAGTCGCCGATCCGTCCTTGCCTTTTGTCGTTACTACGGATGCTAGCCAGTACGGCATAGGCGCAGTGTTACAGCAAGACGATGGCAATGGCTATAGACCCGTAGAGTTCATGACCGCTAGGATGCCTTCAGAGAAGGTTGCGACATCTACCTATGAGAGGGAACTCTACGCTCTCAGGCAAGCATTAGACCACTAGAAGCACTACTTG